AAAACATTACTAAAACATGAATACAGTGATATTACACGTGTTTAGAAAAATTCCATGATTACGTTGCAAATTCACATTTTACTGTCTCTTAAGACCCCGGACAACCTGCACAAGGGTTAAGAAGGGACTCAGGCAGGAGTGGGGGGTGGTTGATTGGCATAATGAAGAGAGAGAGAGAGAATAAATATTTTTTATTTCTCAGTTTAGTTTTGGCATTGTTGGTTGATGGTTGGCATGAGAGAGAGAGATTTTTTTTTTTTCTCAGATTAGATTCTGTATTGTTTTTGTCTTTGAGAACAGAGAGGTGTTTAAGAAGTAGTAAACAGTGGAGGGACGACTACAAGATGAGAAGCTATAAGCATTTCTTGAAGCCAGATAATACCTATCTGTTTCAAGATTCAGATCCTACACATACAGTTCCAACAGCGACGCACCTGGTCCATCAAACACGGTTCACGGTGTTGATCAGCATCCTGAACTAGAGAAAAGAAACTGTATATATGGCACTGAAGGACAGAGTGAGGATGAAAGTGAGACAAATGATGTATGTGGAGTTGAGACGAGGAACAAAGTTGCGTAAATTGCACTTTAGGACATAATGAAAGTGAGACATGAAATAAGTGATGAAGAAAGAATGGAATTAGATGAAGGAAACTGTGTTGATGGTGAAAGTGAAGCAGCAAGTGATGGAGTCAGTGAAGCAGGTGAAAGTGATGAAGACCGTGATGTTGAGGAACATCATGATGAAGGAGAACCTGATACCAGTCCAAAATTAGCTGAAAACCGAAATGTTCCAATATTCAGGTTTCTCTCAATCACAAAGGCTGAACTACTCCTGAAACTCATAACATTTACACTGAAACACAATTTAGCCTTTGCTGCACTGCTTGACCTGTTCTCTTCAACTGTACTACCGGCCACTAAACACGTGCTCAGTAAGGTATTCACACACTTTAGCCAGAAAACAGAGCTTCATTTCCTCTGTACATTCTGTCAGTCATATCTTGCAAGTCGGACAAAAGAGAATCAGAGGAAACACTGTGTGTTCAAACTGCAACAAGACAAACAGTACCCAAGATCTGAAAAGCCAGAGCTACTTTGTAACCTTACCAGTCGATTTACAAGTTAGATCACTCCTTGAAAATGACAACTTTAGAGATTCACTCAACAACAGATTTTCAAGAGCAACATCAGAAAATGTCCTTAGGGAGGTTTATGATGGTGATATGTACAGGGAGCTCTCACATCCAGCTGGAATTTTACTCAGTAAGAATAATCTTTAGTATGTGTTCAGTTCAGATGGAAGTCCCTTATACAAAGCCTCGGGTACATCAGTCTGGCCAATACAGCTGGCTATAAATGAAATTCCTATCATAACTAGAGTTAGTCAGGTTAGTAAGTCTCAGAACCAGCTGACTTAAATAATCATAAAACAAAGCTATTATTAGTAGTATTATTGATGTAATTTTTATAGTATATTAAAAAAAAAAAATAAGATTACTATTTTGTAATTATTATTATTAAATACTCCTTTTTTTATTTTACAGTACAATTAGATTATTGCAATTGTAATATATTTCTTTGCTCATTTGTTATAATTAAAATAATAATGAAATGTTATAGTATAAAATAATATTAACAATTTTGGTTAAATTTATGATAATAATAATAAATACTGACATTTTATTTTACAGTGCAATATGATTACTGCAATAGTAAGAGTTTTTATTGATTTGTTTATTCATATATTTAAAATAAAGAACAAAAATATTATTTTGTTAACAATAATAATAACAAAATATTAATTTTACTTTATTAATTATAACAATTAAACAAATCAATAAAATCTTACTAGTACAATAATCATATAAAACATTTAAAAGTCTGTATTTACTATTAATAATAATAATAATAAATACTGACTTTTTATTTTACAGTGGAACAGGATTAATGTAGTAGTAACTTTTCATTCAAGTAATAAAAATATATAATTAATATTTTGGTTAATATTAAATACTCACTTATTTATTTTAGAGTATGATAGGATTACTGCAATTATAACATTATTGTTATAATAAAACAATAAAATTAAGTTATTATTAAGTTGGCTTGTGAAAGCCAACTTACTGAAATGCTATTTAAACTTCTTATTATTATTATTCTTCTGATCTAAATTATCAACTCTATCTCCTCCTAGAGCTTTAACTCTACAGACTCCAAACTCAGCCCAGCTCTTCAGACTGATCTGACCGGGTGTGCTATATCTTTTCTAACTGATCAGACCTATGGTTTTCTTCAAAATTAATATTAAAAATCATAAAAATCCCATAGACTTACATAGAAAAGTTTCTGCTCACCTGAACATTCCGACAAACTCCAACTGTCAAAATTCAAATCTAAACACACTGAAGCCCATTAGACTCACTCAGACTTGCTATTCAGTCTATCTATCATCTGACTATTTCTATCTATCTATCTCACTTGTTAATCATGTTAGCAACATGATAGTAGCATGCTAATCATGCTAGA